GTGGGAGGTACGATAACTCATCCCGCCATGCTGGACGTAGTGAGCGCCCGGTTGCGCAACACCGGCCGCAGCAACGTGGTCATCACTCTCGTAGACGGTCGACTGCATCTGCTCCAGGAACTGGTCAAATGTTCATCAAGTCAGCCTTGGTGCGCAGGTTGCCCATCGGTGGCAGGTGGTAGGACTGCATGGGGCTGGCGGGTTGGTAGCCACCACCCCCGCTATGGCCGCCACCGTGGCCGACGGAGACCATAGCCGGCATGGGCTGTGTCTGGTACTCATGGACGGCGCCAGCAGCGCCGTTGACAAGGGGTAGTGGCAGACCATGCAGGTTTAAGAGACGCTGTCCAACAACCGCGTAGGAGGTGGGGTCGAACTGACGGCGTTTCAAGTCTCCGAAAAACTCATTCAGGGCATCGTAGCCGCGCTTTTTGGACTCGTAGGAGGTCTGGTGAGAGTCGTTGCCTACGGCGTAGTACACATTCCCGTATGAGGGGTTGGAGGGGTGTTGTTGGTGGGGGGTTTGATAGTATTGTGGTGCTCCGTGCGGGTAACCTTGGCCGGGAACGTGTCCTAAGGAGCCTTCGAAATAGTGGGCTGCCATTGGGAATTCAGATTAGTACGGGTAAAACACATATAAATGGGATAGGCTACAGCATTAGAAAATGCTAAACTCACATTTTCCATCAGCACCAACACCAACCCCAAACATTCCATTGGGTGGCCTGGTTCCAGGTCCAGGCTCTGGAGACCTCACGAGGACTGAGTCATCTGCATGAGTCTTGACATGCTTCTTCAAGTCCTGCGGGCGTTTGAAAGCCTTCCCGCAGAAGTCACATTTGTGAGGCTTGAGGGGCACATGGACGCGGATATGCGATGTAATGTGGTCACGTTTGACGGTGGTTGTCCGGCAATTTGCCCATCCACAGGTCAGATTTAGGTTATTGGTGCTCTTGCGCCCTACGTGGCGTTCGCAGACATGTTCCTATTTTGTTCTTTGGTTAGTTATAAGGTATGGATATGACGAGGAAGGGTAAGCGAGCATCAGGTGCATTATTGAAATTTCTCATCAACACACAACGCCACCTGGGTAGATTGAATGTAAACAAATGAAAAACCCAGGCAACTCAACGTCAACACAGCGAATGTAGCATACATATGAAAACAAAAAAACCGCTGAATAGATTCGCATAGGGCTTGTGTGTATCACGTGCATCAAAGTCCCCGGTTGGGCTGCGCAGCCAAGAGATGGACAAGATAGGATTAAGACAAGCCTCAAGGGACAAGAAAGAGTCAACTCACATATAGAGCTTCAGCAGTGGGCAACCTTTCTTGGCAACCCTGCCACTGACACACCAAGATCTCCGTGACACCTAGGGCTGCGCCATTGCTCCCATTCTGTGGCAGAGGTACTGGAGCGATGACAGATGCCGCGGCGGCGGCTGCTGCCGCTGCTGCTGCCTGCTGGACGGCTGCGGGAGAGCTCAGCGGTGGATGGAAGGGCTGGACGGGGGATTGCTGGACATGCGCTGGAGATTGGTGCTGTAGAGATGGAGACCGTTGCGGGCCCTGCTGGGATTGCTGAGGCTGAGGCTGGTGCTGTTGCTGATGCAGTGGTGAATGTTGGGATTGCTGTTGAGGGGATTGTTGCTGTTGCGTCGTCTGCTGAGCCTGTTGTTGTTGTTGTTGCTGTTGCTGTTGCTGTTGCTGCTGTTGTGTCTGTTGGTGTGGTTGTTGTGGTTGTTGTTGCTGTTGCTGCGGCTGTTGTTGGGCCATTGGGGCGGAAGTGTCTTGGTTTTCGCGGGAAGACATGGTCTGCCAAGAAATTTTTTTCTTGTCGCCAAAAGCAAAAAGTCTTGGGAGCGGAAAATAATGGGAAACGACAAAACGCGCAAAAGCTTGTGTTTGACGGGCTTGGAGAAATGTCGACAAGCGAAGAATAAAGGGAGTTGAGGATGGATATTTTGGGGGAATTAACGCAAGTCGGAAAAAAAATGGATATTTTACGAGGGAAAGTGACGGAAGATTTTCCTTTTTCAGTTTATGTTTTCAACCCACACAAGAGACAGTAATAACATTCGAGTCCAGGCGAGGGAATGTGCACGACAGAAGGATTAAAAATGACAGAAAAGAACACCCTATACAGAAAAGGCTTGGTGGGGAGGGAGATTTTGACGAGAAGGACGGAATTGTCGGGCGTAGCGAATTCCGTTTCTTGCGGCTTTCAAGGCACTGCAAATGGAATGAATTATGGCGGGCAGGTTGTACGACAAAGAGAGAATGATTACAAAGTTAAAGTTTGGGAGTGAGAGGAAGCTGGAAGAGGATGATGGGAGAGGGTAATAACGATAATATATTTTGATGGATGATTGCGATCGATGAGAAGGACGGGTGCAGGAACGCAGACCCCGAACTGTACTCAACTCGATGTTATGTGATGCGATGCGAGTGAGTAGCTGTGTGTATTGGGGGTTATATAACAAAGTCCAGTTTCCGGCAGAAGGCGAACCGGGTGAGTTGTATGTTGGGATGATATAAAGTATATGGTAGATAGATATATGGTAGATTTGAGGAAAGACGGCAGGTTCCAGACGGAGGAGTGAGAGGACGGAGGAAGGAAGAAGAAGAAAAAGAGGCTTGGAACTTGGGGGGAGAGGGAGGAGGGCGGGGGAAGGAGGCGAAAAAA